GGAAGGAAATTTATTACTCAACTTCATGGGAATGATTTGATTGCTCTGAGTTCCTGCTAGCAGGAATGAGAGAGACTGAGCAAATCAGTAAAGGCAGTCCTGGATAGTCTGTGTTTTCTTCCAATAAGCAAAGAAAAGTTGTTTGTCTCCCTGCAACAGGAAACATATTGAATTAGTTCCACTTATTTAGGACATCATATCAAAGAAAGTTTGATGCTTCTGGCTCTCTAGAGAAGAAGAGAAAAAACCCATGCATTTATAGCTGAAATGGAGCAGATTTCCAACTATGGTTATTCCTGCAAAATGGGTAAATTTCTAAAGGTTTCCCAAACTTTTGTGAATATAGCACTTTACAGTGTATTGTAAATGACTCTACTTGTAAAGGACTCTACTTCTGGGATATAGAATAAGGATTGGCAAACTTAGTTTGAAAAGACACCCCTCCCCCTTTGGCTCCATGGTAGAAGCAGGCCAAGGAGTGCAGGAGCCATACAAGCATGCTACTCCATCAGCAAGCAGGCTACTGATAGACTATCACTGCCCAGGTTGCCTACTATGCCAGGCCCTCAACCCTGTCCCTTGCTCCAAGATCTTGTCTGAATCTTGGGCCTGCTGATCTGAACTATTATAATTCAGAGAGGATAATTGGGAAGGAGAATGTAATATTAAGTATGATTTCTATGAAGTACCCAGAATTATAACCTGGGACTGGACGGTAACCCCAAACAATTCTCTCTTTAATCACACAATTTATTTTATAGAAATCTTAAGTTTTTCAGCTTTGTTTCAATGAGTTAAAATGATTAGCCGAGCCTTTGGATAAAGTTGCTTGTTAATCTTGTGGATGTGGTATTAACCATCTGACATTTCAGTTTGATCTTGACGAGGACTAAGAAAATCCAATAGGATTCCTTTTTTCTTTGGATAATGATGACCTACTGAAAGATATTACCTACTGGGTGACATCACCAACTGATGAATATCTGTTAAATGATGATCTATTCAAGAATGGCTGAGTAGGTAAAGGAAAAGTCAAATTCTTAATGGAACCATATAATCATTCCTACTTTGGCAACTTTAAGATGTGTGGACTTCAACTCCCAAAATTCCCCAGCCAGTATGGAGAATTCTGGAAGTCCATACATCTTAAAGTTAACAGGTATGAAAAGCACTGGTTTATACTAATCTAATAAATACTAATCCTCAGCTTTTGAATTTTTTTTGGAAAGTGGTGAAATATAGTTTAGAAACCAATTTCTGTAAGTATTATGCGTTCACCTTTAATAAAGATAAAAGTGTTGTTTTAGACAGGGTCCCCACCCTGTAGTTCTCCAGACACATGAAATTAAATTGTCATTGTCTCCAGCCAGCACTGCCCATTTTCTAAGAGATTTCTCAGAACAAACAGGGCTTAATCCTTTTAATAGATTATTAACAGCAAGGTATTTTACTACACAAATATCTTTTTGACACTTTAATGAATAAGCTCATCAATCAGAAGTAGTACCTGGCTATGAATAAAGTGATTGATTTGTTTCAATAAATGTCTTATAGAATAGAGCTGGAAGGGACCTTGGAGGTCTTCTAGTGCAGCCCCCTGCTCAAGAAGGGGGCTGGACTATACCATATTTTCTTTAAATGATTGATATTTTCTACCCTTATAAAGTAATTGAAAATACATGGGGATGATCTGGAATTTTCTAGTAATTCTGATAATTTCAACCATGGAAATTTGTCAGTCTAATGAAATTTCATGTATCTTTATAAATGACATACAATAATTATAAATTTCATGTATCCTTATAAATGACATACAATAATTAATTATACTGCTAATTATGTAATTCATAATAATTTATTCTTTTAGTATTTGTATAAATATGTTATTTACTTGGCAGAGGTTTTTTTTACTGATTGCAGACACTAAGCATATGTAATTCTTAACTACTCATTGCTGGTAACTTCTATGTTTATCTTGAAAAGCTCAACCTCAAATCTGGGGACTTTATGATATTTGAATAGAATAAAATAACAGAATTTGAAGGGACCCTAGTCCTTGAGTTACGCATGTAATGGAGTCTGCCCATTCCATTCGTAACTCGAAAATTCGTGGGAGTGAATCTCATACCTCAAACAAGATCACTCCCTGCTCGTTAAGACCTGTGCGGCTTGTTAACATGAGGTATCTCATGGAAGACCTAGTGATGGAATAGGCCCCTAAGGCCTCCCCAACCCACTAATATACCTCATGCTTCTCCCTTCCTTCATGCTGCGCTGGACTCACTTTGAAAAGATCCATCTCCTCTCTGCTGCAGTTCCTGCTGCTGCCCAGATCAGAGGCTGGGGAATGCTTCTGTGTGCCTCTGGAGGCCAGATCCGGGTGTCAGAGGCCTTTTCCAGACGGCTGCCACCCGAAAATGAGGCCAGGGGACACTTTTGTATGCCTCTGGAGGCCCGATTTGGGCATTGGAGGCCTTTTCCAGGCTGCTGCTGCCTAGATCTAAGGCCGGGGGATGCTTCCATGGCCCTCTGGAGGCTGGATCCAGCCTCCAGAGGCACGCAGAAGCATCCCCCAGCTTTAGTTCCATTCTCTGTTGCAGAGAACAGAGGCCTAAAGTAGCTTGAGATCACGTGAGATCAGTAGCATGAGATCTTGCACCATTGATCTCATGTGATCTTGCATTTAGGCCTCCATTCTCTGTGAACGCACCGAAGGCCTGGAGCAGCCAAGAAAGTGAAGGATCTCGATCTTTGCAGGGTGAGTATTGAAGGCCTAGTGCCTAGGGAGACCCGGGGGGGGGGAGGAAGAGAATAACCAGGGTGAATGTTGCAGTGCCACTGCGGTCACTTGTAAGGATGAACGGCTGCTATGGTGTGGCAACATTCGTAATTTTGGGATTTGCTCGTAAGCACTAGGGGGTGTTTATCGCGTGACTTTGAACATTCACTAAGGGAATGCTTGCAACTCAAGGATTACCTGTACCATTTCATAAGGTGACCAACATTTTTACAATGAAAAGAAGGACACAAATAAATTGAAGAAAAAATATTGTAAATAAAATTGCACTCAGCAGCAATTTCTATTGGCTTTTGAAAGCCAATAAGGGGAGTAATACAGCTCATGCAAAAGTTGAAAAAGAAACATCAAAAGAAAAGGTGCTGGAACGCCGTTCTGAGCGTTCTGTGAGAGAAAAAAAAAGCCCTGCAGATTAGTTAGTCTTCAAATATCGAAAAGGAGGACATGTAGGAGGACACTTTCCGAGGGAGGACAGAATTTACAAAAGGAGGACTGTCCTCCCTAAAGGAGGACGGTTGGTCACCTTACATTTCAGACAAATGGTTCTCCAATCTCTTCTTAAAAACTTACAGTGTTGGAGCGTTCACAACATCTGGAGGCAAATTGTTCTATTTTATTGTTTATTGTTCTGTTAGGGAATAATTTATTGGCTAATCCTGTTATATAGTAAACAGGGGTGTAAAAGAAGATGTACAAGTAAATGCTACAAAACACCTTCAAAGAAAATGACGTTGAAAAGTGACATTGCTCTGTTTAGGTCCCAGGGATTGTAACTGGGCCTTTCAACACTGCTCTGTGATAACCTTTGCAAACTGCAGACATTAAAAATGAATTTTGAGAACTTTTTTTGCAGTCAACAAGTATCAATATGCTAGACCTGCTTTTACATCTAAAGTTATTTATATTTTATTTTTAAAAAAACTATTCAGTGGTATGACTGTGGCCGAAATGCTTCCTTTTCTTGAATGCTTTCAAATCTTGAAAATGTTATTCAGGGATGGTTCACCACTTTCCAAGTGGTGAAAGCTGTGGTCAGTGTAAGCTGTGAAGATTTTGAAGTCCACATTGTTGCCTCAGTTGGCACTTTCTCACTACACAATAACCACAGCATGGTTTGCTGAGCTGAACATGCATTCATGGTTTAGAAATAGTTATTCTGTGGGCAGCTAATTGCTAAATGGGTGGCCACAGTTTTTTTTATGGGCTTACAAGTCATCAGCTGTTGTGGCATCTTACCCCGATGCTTTGGTTAGTATTTCAAGGGGCTGCCCAAACAGGTAGCAGGGTAGCCGAAAAGTAAAAACCACTCACAACTCTTGCTCTCCTGCTTTGTTTACTTCTCAGCAGAGGCATGCGGGGATTGATTTTTAAAAGCAAAGCAAAAAAGGGGAATGATTAGTATTTCTCCAACCCACCCAGAGTGAATACCATATACTTACGGTTAATTACAAATGAAAGAGAAACTGTATATGATTGTGTGCTTCTGTTACTTCACTCACCCCTGCCAAATCACTTAGGATACCTGCTCTCAGTTGCCCCACAACTACTGCTGGTGGAGTATAGCCAAGCTCCCCCCCCTATTTGTTTGCTGATACATTTATTGCATTGGATTAAGAGCTACTCAACTCCCAAACAACACTGGGTGGCTTACATCACAAAACTAAGAAAAAAAATGAAGAAAAAAACACGTACATCTGGAAAAACAGTCCAATACCTAGAAAAGAAACTAATGGGGGCTTAACAGTTACCCTAACCCCAGGCTTGGGAGCAAAGCCAGGTTCTTAAAAGATTTGTGCAACTGTTGTAGGTTAGGAAACAAACAGCTCTCCAGGGGAATACTATACATAAATTCTCCCACTTACAGTTAGCTCTAATGCAAATGGGATCACTCATACTGAGTTTGGTTGGGAATTCTGGTAGATATAATGCCAGCACATTTCAGGGCTGCGTAACTGAGGCAGATTGGGCTTTCCTGTTTGAAATAACCATCACAAACCAGTAGCTACTGGTTTTTAGTTCCACTATGGAACTATTTGGGTCATTTTTAAAAATATAACTATCATGAGTATGCCCCAATTTATAATCATGGTGGCTTTCAAAGAATAGGGTTAAATGCATGCCCTGAAATAAACTTGGAAATATTTTTTCTGATTACTATTAATCTGCTGTTTCTGTAACCAAACACATATGTTTGTTTATCCGATTAAACAATTAATGATCTCAAAATTAATTGCTGGAAGTTGTATCATCCTAAAGACATTTCCGTCACTGTTTCTGGGATCTGTCTTATGTTGCAGTCTGTACAAAAAAAAGCTTTGTATTTATAATTTTAATTTCTTGCAGATTTCATCTCAACAAGCAATCAAAACCCATATTTTAGAAGAGTGAGGTTTGATGTCTCAGCAATGGAGAAAAATGCTTCCAATTTAGTGAAAGCGGAATTTAGAGTTTTCCGCTTACAGAATCCAAAAGCTCGTGTATCAGAACAACGGATAGAACTGTATCAGGTAAAGCTTTGATTATTGCTGCCCTTTTATGTTTTTTTAATATGTGAAATATGTTAATATTTTTCTATAGCACATTTAGACACTGTAGAGTTAAATAGATAGTAATATTCATTCTCTCTTCTTTGGACCCTTGGGAAATGTAGTTTATGAGAAGAGATCTCAGGCTCTGTAGAGAGGAATCTCATTCATTACATTTATCAATCCCAGGTTTGCAGAAAGAAAAAAAATAACAGTATAAAGTTAACTTAAAAATGTACATTATACTTAAATTTACTTTAATGTCTGCTTTCTAAAGGCATGTATGTATTACAATAGTTTTTATTTTTATTAGGAGCTGATTGAAATCCACTTTAAACTATATATACAAAAGAAAGTTTACTGTACTGAATTATTGTAATTGTATCTCTTGCTTCTGATCCCTCCTTTTTTAGATTTGCTATGTGAGTCAGGAAGAAGTAAATTTTCCAGGCCAAAAGCCATGTTGTGGACCTCATTCCAAAAAACAGGAATGAGACTAGGACAAAAAATAAAACTGATTTCATTTCATTTGCATTTCATTAAAATTAAAATAGATAACATGATTAATCTGAAATTGATTGATAATTCTTCTCTTTTGCTATATTAAACATTACAAATCTGTTACCTCAAACTTTAGTGACTGGAAGTTCCAGTTTAAATTAAATTGTGGTTCTATTAATGAAGAAAATCAAAATCCTGAAGCTACAACAGACAAGGTGTCAGTTTTCTTATTTTACCAGTGTGAGGAGAACATAATTTGTAACTTACTGGAATGATCCAAGCAATATATGCTCCTTCTTCTGTTACTCCTGTTGCCACAATGAGATTTAGGGCTAAAAAATAATTAATACACATAAATGTCATATTTATTGACATTCACAAGGGCTGAGTCTAGATACACTTTTACTCAATGTGTCATACTGACTCTAAGATGTATAAACATGTTTATCATTACAGTGTTTCATCTTTTTTAGAAGCAAATCCAGTTCAGCACAGTGCAACTTATTCTCAAATAAATCAAGTACAAGATTGCAGCTTTACTTTGTAAAAAATATGACAGTCCTGGGTGGAGTACTTCTCATCCTCAGTGACCCCACCTGACCTCATTTTGTCTTGCTTCAATTGATGCTGTTTTGTGTTCCATGGAGTTAAAGCCAGGAGCTTGTTTTATTTTGTTTCTAACTGCTCAGTGCCAGCAAGCTCTTTTTATGCTCTTTTTAATTCACTTGCAGCTTCATATGTAATCTAGTTAAATCAACTTGCTCAGATTTAAGGCTGATTAGTTCCACTGAAGCCAGGGGCACCAATCTGGTATACATATTTGTATTTCCAAGTAATCTATGCTAAAGTTGTTGTTTTTTTTAAAATATTCTTTTGTTTTAGTCATCTAGCAAATTTCTGTAAAGTTAGGCCCTAAGATGAATACTTAACATTAAGATCCAGCCTTAATAGATTTTCATTCTTAACTTATTTTTGCTACTGAATTAGATTTATAGATTGCCAAATCCCAAAATCATAGACAGATTACATAGTTAAAAATAGCACACAAAAACAATATGAAAACTAAGTTGATAAACACAACACATTGGGGGAAAAATACATTTAGATAGTAATAAAACTATAAAACTTCTGCACTGCACCATTCAGTTGGAAAGCCATCAAGAACAAGGGCTTTTCCCAATTTCATAGCTTGGATTGTCTCTGCAATTTCCTGTTATGGTTGTCCCAATTTCCTTTCATATTTTTGATGGATCTCTTCTGTTTAATTTGTTCCCCCAGTTTAGTAATTTGCTGTTCAGTTATCGAGGTCTCCAGTTTATATAAATGAATATTTTTAAAAAAAAAAAACATAAAAATAGTGTGGTCCATTGGTTAAATCACCAGGTTACAAACCAGGAGGCTGTGTTTTTAGTCAAGCCTTAGGCATGAAAGCCAGCTGGGTGACTTTGGGTCAGTTTATTCTCCCTCAGCCCAGCTCACCTCATAAGGTTACTGTTGTGGGGAAAGAGGAAGAAATACTAGGTATTTTAGCTGTCTTGAATTACTATAGGTAATCCTTAATTTATGACCACAATTGAGTCCAAACTTTATGTTGCTAAGTGAGAAATTTGTTAAACGAGTTTTGCTGCGTTTTGCGACTTATCTTATCACATTTGTCAAGTAAATCACTGCAGTTGTTAAATTAGTAACATGGTTGTTAAGTGAATCTGGTTTCCCCCTTTGCTTTTGCAAAGGTGATCACATGACCCCGGGACACTGCAACTGTCATAAATATGAGTCAGTTTTCAAACATCTGAATGTAAATCACATGACCATGGGGATGCTACAATGGTCATAAGGGTGAAAAATGGTTATACAGTAACTCACTTTTTTCAGTACCGTTGTAACTTTGAATGGTCACTAAGCAAACTGTTGTAAGTTGAGGACAACCTGTATTTTAAAAAGACAGGATTAAAAAAAAAACCTAAGAATTTCTGGCTCAGCATTGTAACAGGCCATTCTTTGCCTGAGTTGTCAATGACGTTTTGCTGTTGTTTCTGCCTGTGAGTCCATAACTTGTCAGCTTTCTTCTCTAGATCTTCAGTAATTCCAATTAACAGATAAAACTACTTTAAAAGCTTAGGGGAGGGGAGGAAATAAAATGATTAAACAATCTCAAATATCCAATGTCTCTTCCTTTGCTTATAAAAATGGTTGCCAAATTCAGGAATTACTGGAATTTAATCAGATAAAAGGTTGAATGTTATGGGAATCTCTGAACACATATCTTTAGTAGCATTTTTGTTGATTTCATGACATCTTTACTTTATTAAGAAACTTCTTGCGTAGAAAGAAAAATAAACTCTGACACATTTCTAGTTTACAAATGAGCATTTGAAAAAGAAATAGGCATTGTAACACGGAAGGCAAGCAAAGAGCGGAAATAGGGTGAAACATGCTCTCATTTTGAATGGTTGTAGCAGTTTATTTTTATGGTAGTTCATTAGCTACTATATACTATAGTCTATACAAACTATAAAACAAGCATGGGTTCGAGTGATTTTCCATGGAAACAATGTCATGTTTTGATAGCACATGAAGTATCATGAAAAATAGAGCCAAAATTCTGGGTTTTACTGCTGCTCTTATCAGGGTCTTTAGCATACCTAGATACTTGATAAGGGCCGTCTTGGTCGCAGCTGCCATTGTTCATTGAACAGGAGCTGTGAGTTTAAGACAACCCTCAGACAGCGTACCATTGTTGAATGGGGGAGGGAAACCCCACCCAAACTGAAGATGGAGAGAACCCAAATCCAGAGTCTCCCCAAAACTGCATCCATTCTTAATGATAGTAGATAATATATGTGACATAGAACAGAACAGAACAGAATAGATAGAATAACAGAATTGGAAGGGATCTTGGAGGTCTTCTAGTCCAACACCCTGCTCAAGCAGGAAACCCTATACCATTTCATACAAATGATTGTCTAGTCTCTTCTTAAAAACTTCCAGTGTTGGAGCATTCACTGCTTCTGGAGGCAGGTTGTTCCACTGGTTAATTGTTCTAACTGTCAAGAAGTTTCTCCTTAGTTCTAGGTTGCTTCTCTCTTTGATTAGTTTCCATTCATTGCTTCTTGTCTTGCCCTCAGGTGCTTTGGAGAATAGCTTGACTCCCTCTTCTTTGTGGCAATCCCTGAGATATTGGAACACTGCTATCATGTAACCCCTAGTCATTCTTTTCATTAATCTAGACATACCCAATTCCAGCAACCGTTTTTTATATGTTTTATGTTTTAGTCTCCAGTCCCCTGATCATCTTTGTTGCTTTTCTCTGCACTCTTTTTAGAGTCTCAACATCTTTTTTACATCATGGATGCAGTATTCCAAGTGTGGCCTTACCAAGGCATTGTAAAGTGGTATTAATACTTCACGTGATCTTGATTCTATCCCTGTTAATGCAGCCTAGCACCATGTTGGCTTTTTTGGCAGCTGCAGCACACTGCTGGCTCATGTTTAAGTGACTGTCCACTAGGACTCTGATTCCTCTCACAGTTACTACTATTGAGCCAGGTACCACCTATACTATACTTGTGCATTTGATTTTTCTTACCTAAATGTAGAATTTTATTTTTTTCACCACTGAATTTCATTTTGTTAGATAAAGCCCAGTATTCACATCTGTCCAGATCCTTCTGTATCTTAAGCCTATCTTCTGGTGTGTTGGCTATTCCTGCCAGCTTGGTGTCATCTGCAAGTTTGATGAGTTCCCCATCTATCCCCTAATCCAAATCATTGATGAAGATGTTGAAGAGTACTGGGCCTAAAACAGAGGCTTGGGATACCCCACTGCATACTTCCCTCCATTTAGATGCAGTTCCATTGAGGACCACACGCTGAGTGTGGTTGGTCAGCCAGTTATAAATCCATCTGGTGGTGATGCTGTCTAAGCCACATTTTTCTATCTTATCTAGTAGTAGGTTATGATAAAGGAAGACTACAGGTAGTCCTCAACTTAGGACCAGTCACTTATTGATCTTTTGAAGTTGTGATAAAGCCCCCCCCAAAAGTACTTAAACCCAAATTAGAAGCTACAATGCCCAGGTCACCCATTCACACAGTCATGTGACCGCCTTTTGAGCGCTCAACAGTCAGCTAGCATTTACTGGACATTTGCAATGTCCCACAGTCATATAACTGTGATTTGCAACATTTTTGTAAGAAACCTCTGTTTACTTCCAGTTTCCAATAAAAAATGCCCCACAGTAAAAAATAAGTTCACTTAACCACCACAGTGTTTGTAAAATCAGGTGCAGTTATGTGATGACCTGTTTAATAACTGCCACAATTTATGACCATAGTTGCAGGCTCAATTATAGTAATGAGTTGAGGCTATCTATATAGGATTTTGAAAATTCCAAGAGGCACATATTTTTTATTTATGAACTGAAAGACAGCATAAAATAGCATCCATAGTAATAGCTTTCATGGTTTCATGGTTCTGATTTTTAATAAAACCTAGCATGTTTCAGGCAAGTGATGGTCAAAAAGAATTTTGATTAGTGATGAATTCATATTTATTCCTGATAATTTATGAACTCTCCTAAACTATTTGTGTTGTTTCAGCCTTTTTCTGAACTGTGACCATCCTATTTATGCATTCTTTATATACTTTATATTTTGACAATATAAAGTGTATAAAGCAGAAGTAATGGTAAGGTATTAAGATGTCTTCTATCCCTGAAAGTATATTTTGGCTAACTAGTAAGATGGAGAACAATACTTTTATAATGAAATTATTCTGCCCCAATTTCAGTTTCTTCAAATCGGTTAATCTCCATAAATTATATTAGAATATGATTAATAAAAAGTAACTATCAATTGATCGTCCCTAGGGGAATCTGCTAATGCAAGTGGGTACACTGGATGAAATCTGGTGTAATACGGCAGCTTTATTGTGGGAAATATCAGTATTTGTGTTGAAGGACAAAATTGACTTAGGCAACTAACGACAGCTATTGTATTGTAGCCCATCCCATTTTTTTCATTAAAAGTCTCATTGCACATTTACCTGTACACTTGTCTTCAGTTCTTTGCATGGCTGCAGATGGGTACAACGAAATACACTGGATTCACAGTAATCATTTCTCAAGCAAGCCAAAAATAAATTACATTTTCAGTATTTTCACAGCTTAATACATTTTAACCTCTAGCAGGAAAAGAAATCTTGGCAAAGATACTTTTTGATAAAATATATTTGGCCCAGGAAGAAAGACAAACTTAGAGCACTGTTTTACCCTTATGTAAGCTGTAGAGATTACAGGCACTGAGGTGTGGTGCTTATAACAGCCAAGATAAAGAACTGGCATCGAAATAAAAGATGAAAGCATCAGAGAAAAGGTAGTTATGCAGGCCCATGGTAGCTTTTCCTTAGAGCTCTAACATATTTAAATGTTTTTCTCACAGATACGAAGATTAGAAATTTTCATTTTTAAACTATGCTAGTTTTTACCATGATAAGTACGAACAGGGGAAATGGAAGCCACTGTTAAGAGACTATACGAACAATTAATATCTACTATAGCTGTGTTACCTCCATACAAGCTATAAGTGGGTTTATGTAGTGTGCCACATGTCCTTGTTATTTGCAATCTTGCATGATGAACGTGCTTGGCAAGATCACAGGAAGCGGATCACAGAACTATCGGCTTTAAAACATTTGGCAAGTCCTATGTACCTTTTGTATTTTGGCAAGTATGCTGCACCTCGTACAATAGCTTCTTAAGGTCCACACTCTGTGCTCAGTGCCTGCCAGATACAAAGCTGACTGAAGCCAAAAGAAAGACCCCGACTGCCTTCTGCTTCTGCAGAACTATTTCCCTTTGCAGCCACATAACTTTAAGGAAGTCCAGCTGACGGAATAACATGACCTGCAGAATTTAGCAGGTGGCTGAGGTTGCCAAAAACCCTGCTGTCAAAAGTTATTCATGGGAAATATCCTGGAAATACTTTTCAGCAAACAGCCAACAACATTAATCATTTTCAAGCAAGCGAGAGAGAAGTAGGCATTTGTGCTAAGGCCACTGCTTAATATTTGGGCATAGTAAGAGGCAGAATGGTCTGTTTATTATATTTACTATGCTATACATACTGTGTAATATTTAGTATGTTTATTAAACTGACAAGTCTTCTTTCCTCTGTGAAGTTAAAGAAACCCTGTATGGCTCTCTTTTTCATTTTATCTTCCCAGATGATGGTGTCTCCTCCCATTTTTTCCACTCTGACTCCACCATAATAAAAATAAAATTAAAAAAATAATTGATTTCCAAGATTTTGCTTTTCATAATTGCGCGCGCGCGTGAGAGAGAGAGAGAGAGAGAGAGTTGGAAGTAAATAAGAAACCTTGTGATATGAGGTGGTGAAATAACCTTTTGAATATGATCAAACTACATCTTGAATAATGAAATGGCTGAGTCGTATTACCTGGATTCTTTTCAGGCCAACCTTTAGATCAGAAATGGCATTGGTAAAAATGCTTGCTCCTGACCTTTGGAGTGGGATGGGGATGGTGCAACCCTCCTGGCTTTCTCAGGAGCTTTTGATCTCAGTGACTTTTGATACATTGATATCACGGTATCCTTCTGGACTGGCTCCAGGTTTGGGAGTGGGAGACAATATTTTACAATGGTTCTCCTCCTTTCTCCATGGCTGGTTCCAGTCAGTGTTTTGTTTTGTTCATTGTTTTATTGGTTTGATTTATTTTATGCTTGTTGTAAGCCATCCAGATTTGCTTAAGATGAGTAGCCATATAAAACTTTTACATAAATAAATTCTACTGGGCGAGAAGAGGTAAATCCATATGTTTTTCAAAGATAAAATGTTCTAGGAAAGTTTGGAAAAAGCATATTGCAGTAAATGTAGTTCTGGGAGTAGTTTGTGTTTGAGAGAGATTTCAGTTTTTCTCCTAACGTATCACCAGTATGAATCTCTAACTCACTTGACTGTAGTGGCATCCTTCTTTAGCATCTGGAATTTAATTTAGTTCTTTTGCTTTGCCTGGGAAGACACAACCCTAAGCATTATGGCATGAGCAATGTTCCCAGAGAACAAGCTCCTTTGGAGCCCGGACATAAAACTATTTTGAACTTTAAAGCTCTCAATGGACTAGGGCCAGGTATACAAAAGACCTTATTTGGAGAGCAGGCTTCAAGACCACTTCCTGAGGCAGTCTATTTATGGTGTGTCCAAATCTGAATCTATATTATAAAAAATGCATCTTTTAGGGAAACTGAATATTTATGGAATTCGTCTGGCACTCGGAAATTGCTTCCCATTATGACCTGTGGCATTGTTTTTCTGAAGATGCTACTATCCAGTAGTTCAGAAACCTACAAATCAACTGAGTATACAAGAATTATGAAACAATCAGTTATCTAGACAGTGGAATTTTACTGAGGACTAGCTTCTCATCTAGATAGTGGAATTTTTCTATAAAGATTCCAAGAAAGAAGAGCAAAATGAAGATTTAAAGATGTAATTGAAAAAAAAAGGAATTATACCAAGATAAAAGAAACAGACAAATCAAATTATGAAAGCTCAGTTAACAAAGGCTTGAAGGCTATCCCAGAAGGATTAAGAACCAGAGAGAAAGACAATGAACTGACAGGAGGAGGGAGGGAGGGAGGGAGAGAGAGAGAGAGAGAGAGAGAGAGAGAGAGAGAAGTTTTGTATATCATTATCTTCTAAATCAAATGGCGAAATGATAATTCTCAGTGGTAAAACAGATTGTGCATTCCCAAGCCACAATTTAACTTTCATTGGGCAGGCATTTGAGATGATATACAAAGAGGGCATCCAGCCAAGATACACAAAAAGGATTTGGGAAAGTATATGCCTAGAAACAGCCTAAATGTAGGAAGCCATAATTATACTTTGATGAAAACAAAATACTTGGATGTTTATTGTGAAAGAAGTTCCATGAAAAATTAAAGTCTTATGCTTGATAGGTGAACTGAGTCCTTGGTATTGTTAGTATCTCAGTTGCAATTTATGTGTGTTGTCTGGATTACACTTGCTGCAAGGAAAACTAGCTTAGTGCAGCTACAGTAGGAATATGTTTGCTTTAATCCATTCTGGCAATATCTGGAATGGGATGTTTGTCCTGTCCCATCAGTATTGGATTTCCAATTGATTATGTACCATCAACTCATTTATGACTCCTAGTAACTAACTGTATTTTCCAAGAGAGGAAAGATCTTGGTCCCAGAGGATTTTAAAGTAGGTATAGGGTGTGTAATCTATGTTAAACTCAAGCTTGAAATATTCAGTTGGACAAATCCCAGAATGCTATAAATATAGAACAAGACCTACTGAAGTCTAAACCAAAATCTTTAAGGATCTGTAATACTGGGTTTCACGATATCATGCAGTTAACACTTCTTACCAAACTTTCACAGATGCATCTTACACATTTTGTTTATTACGGTATATTTTTACTGCCAGGAGAATAAGTAGTAATATATTAAAAGCTGCAACTGAACTATCACATTCATTTGTAAGTTTTATCTAAGTATCATATTATCATCTTGAAAGCCATTTTTGATCTTGATCTCCATATTTCAGGCATTAAGAAGTGCTGTCTTGCGTGACAGTGATCCATGTTTCAAAAATGCAAAATTTTAGGAATGTGAAAAAAAAATCTGAGGACCAGATTTATCCATTTTTTTTCTGATAAAGAAACACTACAAAAACATTGCATTTGTTACAAAAGGTACACTTGTGAATAAAAGTCTTGAAATCAATTTCTATCTATCTTGCCTTGGTTTAAAACATTGTTAGGGTTACTTTAGCATAAAGAAAAGGAACTGAATCATAGTCAATTAAATAAAAAAAGAATGACATCAGGAAATTTGCTTAAATGTATTTCAAGTTATGGTAAAGCAGTAGAAGTTTGTGTACAAAAACTCTGTTTGAAGAAAAGAATTACACTTGTGCAGTTGAGCTGCATATCTCTACAAATTATTTCAAGACTTTTTTTTCCCTTGTAATTCTGTTGTGTCACAGTTGGTCAAAGCATTATGTCGGAATTTGTTTTCATGTTATTGATAGATAGATAATTAGATAGATGGCACAACCTCTTGAGGTTTATAGTGATTTTCTATATTCTGTTTTGAGTCCCCCTTAGCTATTTTTTCAAATTAAATTGTGAGAACTCCATGTCACAGAATATAGATGTTCTTGTTTTGCAGATGATCAAAAACAAAGATCCCACATCACCTACACAACGCTATATTGATAGCAAGGTCGTGAAAACAAGAGCTGAGGGTGAATGGTTATCTTTTGATGTAACTGAGGCTGTACATGAATGGCTCCATCACAAAGGTGATAGTAATTAATTATTTTAGAGTTAACCTGTATTAAATTTGAACAGTTTAAAGTCTTGCCTGACCTGATATTAAATAAATTTTCTTTCTCTTATATTTTGCAGACAGGAATTTGGGACTTAAGATCAGTTTACATTGTCCGTGCTGTACATTTGTGCCTTCAAATAATTATATTATCCCAAACAAAAGTGAAGAATTAGAGGCAAGATTTGCAGGTAATGACTAAACATTTAAAAATAAAGTAGTTGTGTAATAAATGTGAAATGTTTCATTAGGTCTTATAATATGTCCAGTACTGCCAAACTCAACTGACAAAGAAAAATATGGAGTGTCAGATGGTATGGGAGAAGAGATACTTAAACAATTGCTTTAGAAATCTGGTGTAGCATTCTATAGAAAATGCTGAACATACCTTTGTTCAAAGTAGTTACTATGATATTGGATTAGAACATGTTTAATGAGGTACTTCTTAGCATAATTTTCTTTCTAGCTTCATTAATACTCATGCAAATCTTTCTGCCTTTGTGATCTTTGTGTATTCATCTTGCAACTTGCTTAGGGATCCTCAATTTTGAGCATCCAGCCATAACTCTTTTAGTGCCAATAGACATCAGCACTCATGCTCAAAGAATCAGAATGTAAATGATTAATTTAAATCCTGTCCATTATCTAGCTGGTGACTTTACAAGTATGTGAAAGGTACATTCAAGCATACTAATGGAGTCTATATCATAATGCAGATAACTAGATTCACATGTTATCTGTGTTAACTACTTGTGTTATAGTCCCTGCTTCCCTGAGATTGATTCTTAGCTGCTTCTTTTAGATCTCCATCTCCCCTGGATCTAAAGTGACACACTATTGTCTATGGCCCTTCATTGAAATGAATTAATATTTGCTTGGGATTAAATAAATATTATATGGATAATTATAATAATTGTGGGATAAGGAAACCTATAACCCATCATACGACTAATAATTGATATGAATGAAGCAAGTGTTCCTGATCTGAAATGATGCAGAGATAATAAGAATATAGGGTATTTAATTCAATGTAGGTCCCTGATTCCCACATTCATGTATCAGCATGTCTTAAATCAGCCCAGCTGATGCCAGCACACCTGATTATTCTATGATTTGAGTTTCTTGTGAAGAGATACTTTATATAATTTGTTCCAAAAAAAGCAACACAATATTTATTACCAAAATGTATTTTTTAAAGGTATTGATGACCACCCTTATTCCAGTGGTGAGAAAGCTTTAAAGTCGAGTAGGAAAAAATACAGTGGGAAGAGCCCACATCTTCTGCTAATGTTATTACCCTCCTACAGACTTGAGTCGCAACAATCCAGTCGGCGGAAGAAGCGTGCTTTAGATGCTGCTTATTGTTTTAGGTAATTACATTATAAGATGTTATAGACTTTTATGCATGCATAAAAATATTAATGCAGCCCATTTTTTTTAAAAAAAATCTGCTTTTTATTTATAATTTTAACAGCATTCTATTGAAAGGAATATGTCACTTCCCATCCCCATCCTGCCCACATAACTTTGAATAAAAGTTTGTATTTCTTTGGATTTGTTCCTCAAAGTCTTGAAGGACTACAGCTGCTGAAGGACTTGGGGGGCTGCTTTGAAGAAGACACTTTCTTCAGGATAGTTGGCCAAGAAACCATTGAGCAGCTGTTTCATAACTTCAACAAGCCTATCAAGAATTCGGCAAGGGGCTTCATATACATCAGATTATATGTTCAGCCCTAAATCTCATTTGTTCATTTTCTGGCATTTATACTAACTGCAATTTAACTGAAGAATAACATTTGCTTTTATTAGCATCTTTGTTCAAATCTCTGTCACATTTTGGCTGTATTTGCTAGTTCAAAAGGTAGGCTATCTCCAATTTGAAAAATTAAACAAATAGAATTGTTATGCTCTAGTAAAATGTCTCAAATGTATAGAACAAGAGCATATGTTCAGAATCATGTAATAATTGAGCAGCTGCTAATGTAGTGCCAGAAATCAGAAAATGTGGCTGAAGGTCTGTCCTGTGCTTGGAATCAGTTAGCGTCTGAATGGGGAGGAATTGAGGCTCGGTTGCATCCGGAGACAGTGGCTTTTCAAAGCCTTCTGATGCCACCATATTCCATTTTTGAAAGGATTGCATTTCCTGTGCAAAACTGGCTTGTAATAGGGGGATTTTCCTGGACTCACAACCCCAGGAGAAGAATTAGGTGGCAACAGGGGCTGTAGGAAGGCCTTTCTTATTTTTTTTTTTTTTTTTTATTAAAAGTTTTATAAATTTTACAAGAAAAACAAGAACAATACAAAACAAAAAACAACATATACAGAAGAAAAAGAAAATTAAACAATACATATAAAAAAAAAAAAAACCCCACCCCACACCCCTCCCAAAAACCCTCCCTTCCCCCCCCCTGAGCTTCCCAGAGCAGAATATAGGCTTAAGCAATAAAAAAAAATAAAAATTAAATTAAAAACTTTATATTTATATATACAAAAAAGATATCTATAATATATATAAAAATAAAACTTATGAAAAAGCTATATGATATTTTTGTATACCCAATCTAAATTGTATAAATTTTATCCATTTGTCCCAGATAGCAAAAAACTTCTCTTGCGTTTGTTGCTTTAAGAAAGCCGAAATCTTTGCCATTTCCGCCAGATAAGCTACTTTAAAAAACCATTCCTGCAATGTAGGCAAAGATTCCTTCTTCCAATATTGTCCAACTAACAGCCTCGCGGCTGTGATCAAATTTAACATCAATACAACCTCCTTTGTATCACAATCTGTAACAATACCTAACAAAAATAATTGCGGAGTAAATTTTACCCTCCTTCTAAAAATTCTCTGGATATTCCACCATATTTTGATCCAAAATGCTTTTATCTCTCTGCATGACCACCAAATATGATAATAGGAAGCCTCCTTATAACCACATCTCCAGCATTTAGGTTGCACGTCAGGGTACATGTAAGACATTTTTTGTGGATCAAGGTGCCATCTATAAAACATTTTATAAAAATTCTCCCTTAGATTCTGTGCTTGAGTAAATTTGACATTTCTCACCCAAATAGTTTCCCAGGTGTCCAATGAAACTGGCTCACCAAAGTTCTGCGCCCATCTAATCATACAATCTTTAATTAGTTCCGTTTCTGAGTCCAATTCAACTAAAACCCCATAAATTCTCTTAATGTGGATTTGTCTTTGATCCTTCAGTTGCTTAATAAGATTTTCATCTTCTCTAAGGAAACCCACCTTACAATCCATCTTCCATCTATCTAGTAGTTGCCTATATTTGAACCAAGAATAAGTAAAATTTTCTTGTGCTAATTCTTCCCGTGATTTTAATTGCCAGTTTTGTCCATCCCATTTAAGTAACTGTCTGTAAGACACCATATCCATTTTAACCCCTCTTTTTATTCCTTCTATCGCATGCCAAGGTATAGCCCATAATGGTACTTTAAAATCACTTTTATAATATTTTCTCCAAATCCTAAGTAAAGAAATTCTTAAAATATGAGATTTAAAAGCCCAATCTATTTTTTTATTAAATATTAAATAGGCATGCCACCCATAAAGTAAATCCCATCCCTCTAGATAAAGTATCTCAGAGTTTGTCAAATTTACCCAGTCACTAATTAATGTTAAAACCACCGCATCATAATATGGAAGGCCTTTCTATCACCCCATCTTGTGCACTACTTGTGACCTTTCCTGGTTCAGGAAGTGTTACTGACTATTACTCATGCTTTGATCTTCTCTCATGCTGATTATTGCAATAGACTATTTGAAGAGCTAAAAGCTGGTCCAGAAAGCAGAGGCTCATGGAAACCAGTTAATTTGCCCACATATCACAAGTACTTCAAGGTTACCAATTGGCTTCCAGCTACAATTTATTCTATTCTTCTCCTTTAAAAGGATATGTGACCCACTCCTAGATATCCAGAGGATCAAAACAATTTTGGTAACTGATTCCTGTGTAATAAGATCTATAAGGGAAAGCTTCCTCTAGATCAGGGGTCCCCAACCCCCCGGCCTTGAGCTGTTCCCAACCGGGCCCAGAAGTGGCAGGTGAGCGCATGTGTAAGCAGTGAGTAAGTGCTTATGCTCCATTTGTGCAAGCGACAGGCACAGGTACCAGCCACTCATGCAAATGGAGCTGTGGGCGCATGTGCTTGCCCACCATATGTTTGGAACCATCCCTCCCGCTGGTCCGCAAAGCTTGAAAGATTGGGGAACTATGCTCTAGATCTCTATCCATAGGAAGTATCACTTGTAGGAATCACAGAGTTGTCCTTTCTGGATCATTGTCCCCTTTCTATGGAACACCATTCCGTCTGAGATGAAGTTGGCCCCAATTGGGTTCTTTTAAAATCAAGAAAAATGGGCTTTTTGGCAAGCCCTTCAGGTTTGTTGGGGTTGTATTATTTCACTCTTGTTGATATCCATTCTCCTAAATGGATGCAGAGAAACCTAAAAATATAATTTACTTAAGGATACAAATAAAAATCTGTAACTAGTATTACAGATGAATGTGACAATAATATCTAGTTAGGACTGATTGCATATACAAAATGATAGGATATAAACAGAAACTTGAAATGTCTGCAAGAAATCCTAACACTGCATGACACATGCAAAACCTTTATTAGTCAAGTGAAATAACAACTATCATGCTCCTTTTCTTTCCAAAGTCCTAGCTGGAAAGAAGCAGATTACAGTTTTTAAATTTTATTTTATGTTATCCTTTTCATTATTTCATATTATATTTTAAGCCATCTGATTCCCAAACAATAAAAAGTGAAACATAAACAGACACACATGACAAGTGAAGAAATAATCTTTCATGAATATATTTGCCCATGAAGTGTCAATCATGTGCTATTTTAATGCATCCTTTAAAACCTGAATTTAATTACATAATTACAACATAATGCTTAACATTTCATTCATTAACTCCTTTTTATGCATGAATATTTGTACATTGTGAACTCAGAGTGGCACAAAGTATTAAAAATATAATATTAAACTTCACAATGTATGTGTTTGTGTTTCTATGTGTAAACTCAAGGATTTCTCCCTACTACAATCTGTGACAGATTGAGAAATAAAGCAGAAGAGTAATTTAATGTGCCTTTTTAAAAATAGCCTTTCTGAAGTATTAAAGAATTATTTTTTCCTGTGCCATGGCTTGACCACCCCCTTCCTCCATTTATTAAAGCTGTAGTTTGCACTACTACTCTTCTGTCCATTCAGTTTTCTGAGGGATGATTCTTAAGATGCAGTCCTGTGCCTAGGCTCAGGTTTATTTCTGACAAGTTGGAAACTAGATCTTATTAATTTGAGAGTTCTGAAAGCATGCTCTAAAAAAAAAAAATCAGTAAACTGTTGATTCTATAAAATTCAACCACAGAAGAGGCTGGCTCTTGCATTTCTGAATGATTTATTGTATTAAAGAATATGTATTGCATAGGAGCATTCCAACTGGCATAAGCTTATTAAATATCTTGTCTATAACTCCATTTACAGGAATGTGCAAGATAACTGCTGTCTACGTCAATTTTATATTGATTTCAAGAAAGATCTTGGATGGAAATGGATACATGAACCTAAAGGATATCATGCAAATTTCTGTGCAGGAGCTTGTCCCTATTTATGGAGCTCAGACACTCAGCACAGTAGAGTAAGTATTTTAGAAAACTAAGTAATATTAGGGCTATAAAGCAGAATAAAACCTATTTTGTCAGTTTAAAATGTGTTTTTAATTAATTTAATTGATAGATTAATACTTCATTTACCCAACTTTATTTTAAAAAACAGATTAATCTATTATGGCATATACCATTGACAGAAATTAAAGGAAAGGGAAAGAGCATTTTAAAAGTAGAAAAACTGTACTTCGTATCCAGATTGAATATATAAACAAACTCAAGTATTCAGTATGCAAAGACTTACTCTTTATTTTAGTCCTCTGGTTACTCTACTGTATGTTTTGCAGCTGAGATGTTCCTTCTCCCCTCCCCCTTTTGGCAGTATTATCTTGATAGAATAAGCACTTATCCTTTCATTGTGGGAAAACATACTTAAATGTACTATATGAAGTTGCCACCTACCAAATGAGCCTGTTAAGACCAGTTTTGTCCACTCTGTGGTTTCTTGTGATTTCTTTTTCTTTGATTCCTTTTCTATGGAACGTCCTATATCTGTAACATCAGTCACTATTTGCCCTACAGTCTTCTTCCAAGGCATTTCCAATACACCCACTAGTCCTCTCTTTCCTATCAACATCTTTTATTCTGCAAAAACTAAAAATCTATCAAGTCCTGCTTTTAAAAGACCCTGGCATGTTGATTACCTTTGATATTGATAAGATAAGTCTGCAATGTTGAAGGATATATAAAAAGGGCAACCATATAACCATGTTTAAATTTGTGTCTGTTCCATTCTACCACAAGATGCATACACTAATGGTAAAGTTGATTCTGTCTCTCAAATTTAAAGAAAATCTCAAGGTTGGTACCTGCTCCACTCCTTTAGTATAAAGAATAACTTTCTTTATCTGGCACTAAAAAAAGCAAGCAACTCCATGCAGCATCTTGCTGCCAAAAAACCATAAAGAAATATGGATCAGTGGTAAGCACGGCAGTTAATTACTAGAGTACCTTCAATGAGTAGGAATAGTTCTGATGCCTGATGGTAGAAATATGTGTTTATAAAGGTGGGGGGGCTATATGGTGCATTTGTTTTTAGTTTATTTTACTTGTTTTCTAAAAGGTTTTAAACATTTCATCCCTGACCATAAATAAATGGAAACAATCCATTTATCTTGAGAAGATATGCTTTCAGAGATCAATGGTATCCTCAACTTAAAACCAACTGAACCCATAATTTCTTTTGTTAAGTGAGTTTTTTCCCCATTTTACAATATTTCTTGCCACAGTTGTTAAGTGAATCACTGAAGTTGATAAGTTAGTATCCTGGCTGTGAAGTGAATTTGATTTCCCCATTAACTGTGCTTGTCAGAAAGTTGTGAAAGGTGATCATGTGACCCCATGATGCTGCAGTGGTCATAAATATGAACTAGTTGCCAAGCATCTGAATTTTGATCACATGATCATGGGGATGCTGCAGAGGTCGTAACTATGAAAAACGGTCATAAGTTACTTTTTTCAGTGCCATTGTAACTTTGAACGGTCACTACCTGTAGTTGGAAAGGGCTAAATTACTATGTTCTGCTTATGGGTTTCCTGTAAGCATTTGATTGGCCATTCTGGAAAAAGGATTTTGGACTGAAAAGGCCCCATCCCACAGGATTTCATTTGTTCTTTAGAAGCAAGTTAAAATATGTGGAATTGAAAAACTATCACCAATAGGTCAGGTGAGGGCAGCCCTGATTGCCTGGGCAGGGTGGGGGAGGGAGGTTAATGGCAAAAAGCAACATTTTAATGGGGCACTTTATTTCTCTCCCTTACTTTTACTTAACAGTTATTTTACATAACTCTATCAACTACTTCCCCCCAAAAAGCCAAAGAATGATATGCAATTTTCAACTCTATCCCCTCTTGTGAAGACTTGAGAAAACCTTTCATTTTAGAAGTATTCAAGTATTTTCACTGGTGTCTTTTTTTTAATCAACAGCTGTACCAGGGAAAAAATAATAATTTGCTGCTGTGAAAATTCTCTACTGTTTGGACATTTTACATATCTGTGTTTTTATTGATTCCAGCTGTCTAGTCTTATACAGACGAAAAGAATTTGAGTATAATTACTTTAAATAATAAATTCTCACCATGTCAATGGTGCCATCAGAGCCCTAGGCTCCTTGTTATCCAAAGTTACTTGCCACTGTAATAACTGCAGAATTTGAAGAAATATCTCTTTTTTCCCTTCTTTCCCCTCCTAGGTGCTTAGCTTGTATAACTCAATCAACCCAGAGGCATCTGCATCTCCCTGCTGTGTATCTCAGGATCTGGAACCCCTCACTATCTTGTATTACATTGGCAAAACACCCAAAATTGAACAGCTTTCAAATATGATTGTAAAGTCTTGCAAATGCAGCTAAGGGATGTATTGGAGCATTTTGGAATATGTATATTTTTTTTTCCTCTGGAGAGAAAAGAAGAAAAAGAAACATTCAAAAAGAAGGAAACAAAAAATATATATCATCCATGGTTTTTAAAAAGAAAAAAAAAAGAAAATGAAACGGTACTAGTCTGAATGGATTGAAAGTTGGTTTCACTGTTTCGTGTTTTGTTTTTAAACGGTCATCTGATGCAAAACCGTGACGCCTTATCCTACATTTCATCTACTTGGTTAGTGAGATAGACATGAAGCATTTTTTAGGAAAGCAGAAATACTAACAAGAAAGAAAAGAAAGGAAACGTTTTTTAAAAAAATAAACACTGGAAGAATTTGTTAAGAGTTCTTATGTGAAAGGAAAAAACAGGAAAAACCCATTAAGTGGAGTTGCTGTATCTATCCCGTGGCTTACTTGATTTTTATATTGTTATGCCATAGATGCCCTATCTGTTCCTTGTAGTTTTTAGAATTAACAGTGCATTATTTATTTTTGTGTAATGCGATCAAACAAGAATATGTATTGCCCTAGGGGTTATGGGGACAGACTAGAAAGACACAAATAATCAGACCAAATAAACGACTAAAAATGTTTTTAATCTCTGGGGAACATGAACTCAGAAATATCCTGAAAACAATAATTAGTTTATCCCAATTAAAACAAAACTCTGTTATTACATCATTAAGAAAGCCTACTATAAAAGAAGAGCCACACACACCTTGTTTTCTTGCGGAAAGCCTGAGAGGGCTTCTCATATCATTGTTATAATACTGAGGAGGTTATTAATAAAGGACATTCTGTTTTCGTCTCAAAGACAAATCTATTAAGATTAAAACAACAACTGTAAATGAATAAACTGTCAATTTAGTAAGCCAGTGAAATATTTAACATGTACCGGTCTCATCTTCAGACCCTAATATGTTGCTGTATAGCTATGCTTTGAGATTGTTTTTGATATATGTAACCACACCTATAATATTAAAAAAAGGGTGGATAGTAAGAAGCCAGCTAAATTGGAAACGTATCTGTAGATCTCTATTGTAAACTATTAAAAAATTAAGTACTTTATGTGTAATGTGTAAATTTTCACCATATTTTTGTATTCTGTTAATACTGTCAACTCTGAAGAATTTGAGTTTGGGGGCTCTTGTTGATTACTCAGAATCATGTGCTTCCCTCGAGCTGGCCAGTATAAGTAGAGTCCCCTGTACTTTTAACTTGCACTACAAATACATGTTTTATAATATTTGCTATACATGCGTTTTGTATGTTGTTTTTCATCTCTATGATGCAAGCTTCTTTTTTTTCCTTTCGGTCTGTATATAGACAGGGATAGATTTAAATATTGTTTTGTATAAAATGTATGTATCAAACATCTTAAAACTCTAAACTTCACACACACACACACACACACACACACACATTTCTGAAGAAGGGTGATGGGATGAGACTGGAGTCTGCCTTTGGTTGCCCTGTTCTGCTCACAGGAAGTTAGTCCAAAGACAAGATCTGCCAGATCAAAAGGCAGAAGTGAACTTGGCAATTTTGATGGGCCTGTGCATCACCAGAAAAATCTGCAAAAGCTGGTTGCATGTGCAACTTCACTCCTTTCCTGGGGCACAGCAGATTGAGTACAGAATTATTTTTGACACTACTACTACTGTCATGTTGGGAGCACCAAATCACTTCTGGATTCAAAGGATTGAATGTTGACATCACTGTTGCCGGGGGATGCCCACTTGGGGGCTCCTTTCATTTCTTCATTAAGTTGGCCATCAAAGTGATACTTATTGATCTACTTGCAGTTGGCTGTTTTCAAACTGCTGAGTTGGCAGGAGCTGGAGAGTGTCCTGCAGCAGCAACCAGGTTTTGAGCCTGCTGACCATCAGCCCAATGTCCTAACCTCATGAGTCAACGCGCTCCTTCATTAATTACTTAAAAGGGTACTGTAATAGGGTCAATTAAATTCCAAATTAAAGGAAGGGCCAATGCACTGTCTCTATTCCAACATAGTAGACACTAAGAAAATGGTAGTATCAGTGACCAGCTTCTTGGTGCAGTGGAACAGACAGAAAGCAACTGAGTCTTATCTTTCTTCTCAACAAAACCCAGGATTTGGGGAATATAGGGATTTATTAAAGCTTACAGGTGATCTTTATAAGCAGACCAAACTTTTAAAGTAGTACATGCACTGCTTATTTATATATATTCAGATATACACATGAAAAATCTTGCTTCTGAACATGTGCGCCCCACAGTTGGATTTGAGCATTCTAGAAGTCATAGTATGGTGAAGAAAATAATGTTTTACACTGATTCAGTCAAGAAAATTTACCTTTTAATGATTGAGGATTTATTTTTTTCCCAGAACTATTAAAACTGGAACACAAATCAGGTATATGGATTTTTACATCAAGATAAATACAGCACCCGGATATTTTTCATGAATATTGTAACTTAATACTACCAAAGTAATATTAGATGAAATCCTAACTATATGTAATACAAATAATTTTTACAAAAATCATATTTAATTTATTTAAATCAGGTTTTTTTTTCCAAACTGATGGCTTTATCTCCCGTAAATCTCACTAACCATTTATTCAGCTGAATCTTAGTCTTAAACAAAATATCCAGGATGTAGCCTAAATTGGATTAATCCTACCCCTGATTAAATCTAGTCTAAATTGAATATTCAGAAGGAAGGGTATTTGTAATGATATTTGATGAATTCAAATCATTGCTAACAATTTTATTTATCTGACCTGGAATCAGTAAACTAATTAATTACAAAATTGTCTTTCTCAACCAATCAGCTTCACAACTGATCTATAAGATCAGGCATTGTATCTGTATATAATTCATTGTTCTCATAACTTTTTTTGGCTTTTTTCATTAAAAGAAATAAAGTTACAGAAATGCCTTTTTCTTTTCAAATTATTTTACAGTTTTAAAAGTGGAAGACTTTTCAGTGTTTTTCTTGTGTAGAAATCTACATCCTTCAATATGAACATATGTAATTTCTGTTTATTTTAAAGTTTTTATAATGTGTTCAAATCTGATTCTGGGCAAGTTACATAACACACACATTCACAAACACAGGCACAAATTACCCCACCCCATGGACATCAATAAGACTTATATTTTAATTCTAATATTCTAAATTCTGAGCTCAAACCTTTATAGATATCTTACCTTTAATATACAATACTGTGCATGTTTATTCCAATAATAAATCCAAGCTTGTTTGATAGGCTTATTCTCACTGTCTGCACATGAGTGTCTGAATGACACCAATCTAAAAGCCACACCTCTAAACAGTTGAGATATAAATATTTATGACGAGAATAAATTTTGAGGGGACAGATATAAAATTAATTTGAGATTATAAGCATCCACATGAATATCAACTCATAAATTTTTAGATGTTCCTTGTATAAAAAAGGTTGGTTAGTAATTTTAATTTATTCTACTTTAGTATGTATCAAGCATGTCAATTAAATGAAAATAAGCATTACAAAATATAGGAGGAAGCACGATTTTGGTGCCTATTTTATTTGGAAGTGGGGAGCAGCAATACAGATTTTGGGCTAAAATTGCCATCTAGTTATTTCTGTCTCACACTGCTATTAATAGTAATGAGAACCTTCAAGATAGTCTAGCAAAGGGATTTTGATGAAAATTAGTACATGGACGCAATTCAGGTTAGGAACACATTTAAAATTAGGTCCTTATTTCAATTTTTTTTCTTTCAAATAACAGAAGCAAACACCAATTAACGAAAATATTTGTAGCTTAATTGAAATGAAGAGTCCTTGAAGCTCTCTGAGCTTGGTTGTTTTCTAGCAGATGTTTCATTATCCAAACTAAGTAACGTCCTCAGTGCTAGAGACCAGACATTTTAAAACAACAAATAATATATGCAGTGGTGAGATTCAAATATGTGAACAGCCGGTTCTCTGTGTGGATGCCGCTTCCAGAAGTCCATTTTGGGCCTGGACAACAAAAAATTAGCTACCGGTTCTCTCGAAATGGTGCAAACCGGCTGAATCCCACCACCGAATATATATTTTGGTCCAAAATGTGTTTCATAGCAGAGATAATTGTGATAAGGAGAACACATCAAACAAATTGAAACTCCCTTATATTAAACTATGGTGCTGTCCAATAGCAGTGTCTCTTCTAATTGGCAGGTAGTTTTCTTTCTGTACATTATTTATCCTTAGATTTATAATTGAGCCATACCTTTATTAGGAACAAGCCATAAAATTCAAAGGTGTGTGGACCATTTGAATTCCCTTCAACTTTTAATCAGGCAAGACATTACAAAACAGGGAAAAGAATAGACTCAAGAATGTCAAAAATAAGGGCATATCTTTCAGCTACAAGGCCTTATTCCACAGGATGTCCCACAAACAGATCTATATACCGTATATATTTTCAAGGGCTATTGGGTTCACTGTAGCATACTTCTACTTCATGTTTAGAAGTGTATCCTAAAACATCTACAAACAAATTCCACCATTATAATTATAGATAAGGAAGAAGAATAAAAGAAATGTAGTGCAGAGAAGAGCAACAAACATGATTAGGGGACTGAAGGCTAAAACATATGAAGAACAGTTGCAGGAATTGGGTATGTCAAGTTTAATGGAAAAAAAAGAACTAAGGGTGACATGATAGCAGTGTTCCAATAATCTAAGGGGCTGCCACAAAGAAGAGTGGGTCAATCTATTCTCCAAAGCAACTGAAGGCAGGACAAGAAGCAATGGATGGAAAATAATCAAGGAGAGAACCAATCTCGAAGGAAGGAGAAATTTCCTGATAAAACAATCAGTGGAACAATTTGCCTCCAGAAGTTGTGAGTGCTCCAACACTGGAGGTTTTTAAAAAGAGACTGGACAACCATTTGTCTGAAATAGTATAGGGTTTCCTGCCTGAGAAGGGGTTAGACTAGAAGACCTCCAAGGTCTCTTCCAACTCTTTTATTCTGAAATAAATAATAGCTCTCTTTTTTATTAAAAGGCTACCACCTCCATAGAAAGGGAGCTCTTTTGACACTGTTAGAACTACTCCTAACAGAAAAAGCCTAGAAGTTCTCTTAGATGTCTTTTATTGATTACAATAATTGTTATTTACCAAATGACTTACTCAATTTTCAATAGTGATATTGCCAAGGCAGTATATAGTATAAAAAGTAAAATTCCAAACATGAAGCAATGGCAAGTACTATAAAAGCTTTTTCAATTAAAAAAAAAAAGAATACAGATATGTTTTAAAAAATCATTTTTAAATTATCCAAGTTGGAGCGAAGATGTTCTTCACTGGGATGGAGTATCCCCCACCCATAAAAACTAGTTGCAATCTGTTTATATAATGTGAAGCAGCAGTTATTTAATCATCAAAATCAATGACTGCACCATGCAGCTCAGAAAAGTGTTGCAAACAATCTTCCAATGTATACAATTAAATGGCAAAGCTTTTTTGAAGTTACAAGGTCCAACCTCAAAAATGCCTCTTTTTGTAGTTATTTCAGTTGGAAGTGTTCCATAGAAGGTGGTGTTTATTACCTTCTAAAGTAAATATCTGTTGCTTCTGATTAAAATATCTCTAGCATAAGAGTTTAAACATAAGTAATACTGCTTTTTGAATCATTAAATAGGCAGCAACAAGGGTTGGTCCTTTTTTATTATGGTGAATGTGTCATCTACATAAGGAAAATGGATACTAACTTAGCCCTTTTGTATTCTGCCTTACCTGCGAGATACATGAGGCAGGAAATATGGAGATATTTATAAAATCATGGGCATTCTCACAAAAATGATTCTCACAGATAGAGGAACAAAAACATCCCTTTGTCTAATGTAGGATTGCTGGGTCAAACATAGAATATCAGAGTTGGAAGGGACCGTGCAGGTCTTCTAGTCCAATTTCCTACTCAAGCAGGAGACCTATACCATTTCAGACAGTTGGCTATCCAATCTCTTCTTAAAAGCCTCCAGTTTGAAGGCAAACTGTTCTTCTAGTTTATTGTTCTCACTTCTCATTAGTTCTAGGCTGGATCTCTC